AACACCCTAGATGCCTTGAAAGAGCCCTTTGCTAATTCAGATTCCTGGCTCATGGCCAACCTCGGGGAGATTTCTCTCTTTAGCAGACCATGTTTCAGGAGCTGATTAGGTAAACAAACTAACTAATATGATGAATGCGGATAACAAGGACACATTGAGTCTCACATCCCTTTGCAAAATGAGAGATTCCTCCTACTACAATTTGCTCTTCTGCATCATCAATAATCCGAAGAAGTATCGGTCATCATTTGTGATTCAGAGGAGGAAACTGGCAAGAATAACCTTGCCAGTCTTGACTCCAAAACACTGCAACCTTGTGGTCGAGCACAGTGCCTCAACTTTTACTGGTTTGGGCAGCAGGCACTGAGGGTGAGAATTAGACGATGATTAAGGTTAGAAACATCCCCATTTATAAGGCTTTGCAATACTGATTTTGGTGAGGGAGCCTCAGAAGAACAGGCATATGGAACGAGGATCCAGGAGATGGCACTGAAGGTGCTGGCATTTGCTGCTATCTTGGTTCATAGGCTGTGGCTGCTCTTGGAGGAGCCAGTGTCAATGTGATGTGCCCAGTGGGGTTAGAGTGTGATGCTCAGCTCTGACCAAATGATAGGGATTGAGTTGATGGGCAGATCCTCTCTGAGCAAGTGTTATGTTACCACCCTCTATTTGCCTGCTGCATATTGAGAGCAGGTTTTGCAAGGTGACAGGTTTTGGTCTTGCAGCTTTTCTATGCCTAGAGGACCAAAACCCATGGTTATAGAAGAGCCTGCAGTTTCTGCAGGCTGTGCAGGCATACCCGACTTGCAGCATGCAGTGTGCAGTGAGCATCATCTTATGCTGCTGCCAGTGGATGGAGGGTGTCTGGCAGCCTTGTCAGAGGCATGCTTTGGCTGCTGCCCCCAGCTCGGCCATGGCAGTGACCACCACAGATCCAGCCCTTGGTATGCCAAGGGTGGCACTTGTAGAGCCTCAGGAGCAGACCAGGAGAGGGCTTTGGGCTGCTAAACAGCAAATATGCATGCATGGGCTGAACTTAGATGCTAACACATCTGGTGGATAGCAAGACAAACCTGTCCTCTTTACTCTGTTGTCCATTTTTTGAGGATAGGGTTCCTGGAACAAGCTTGTGTGATAATAAAAAGCTGTAGATCATCTTAAGATGTAGCACATTGGTCCGAAAGACACCTCTGTGCATCAGATTGTGATAGCTTTGCACAAACATCTGACGTGTTTTGGTCTAAAATTACTCGGGGGTTTTCACCACTGCTTGTGAAGTGTGGAAGCACAAACACAATCTTTTCATCGTACCCTGAGGGGCTGTGCAATGGAGAACCAGATGAAAGCAAGTGAGAAGGAAGGTGCATGGTACACAGCCACTTCAATAAATTATTTCACAAAGCTGAGCCGATCCACATAATGTGAAGGGGCAAGAGGAAACATGGACAAACCTAAACATTGCTTGAAGCAGACTGAATGTTACAGAGCCAGAGGAAGTTGTAGAGTAGATATCTCCAAGCAAAAACAACAAGCAGCCAAGGAAGACACGGAATACCATAACCACAAGTAAATGTAAGTGTAAGGGTGAAACCCTCTTCAGGAAAAATGAGGTGGCAATAATAAATAACTGCCTATTTGGAAGTTGTGGCCGATGTACCAACACCGCTGAAAATACCTCAGAATTACTAAAACTGGTGCGTAATTCAGCTCAGAATCAAAGCACAGGAAAATTTTGCTAACACGTCAAGAAATTTGAAGAAAGCAGTGAGATCTTCTCCCAGAAGAAAGTCCCACTGATGGAGCCATCTAAATGAGGGCAAAATCCTGAAAATGGACCATGGGGAATAATTCTGCTGATCTGAAATGGCATGGGGACTGCCAGTGCTGGAGCTCTTCCCTCCGTGCTCCTTGGGATGGGCTTGTGGCAGAGGTGCTGGGCTGGGGTCTGATCCCAGCGATATTCAGTACTGAGCACCATTGGTTTCACTCAACTTCATGCCTGAAATGAAGATACGGCTCCTGGTATTAAAGCAAGATGGTCAGTCCTCCTGATTTCTGTTCTGCTAGAAATTCTCAGATTTCAAACTTTCCTTTTTCCTAGTCAAAACTAAGAGGAAATTCCCATCAAATGACAAAAATTAGTTTGGGAAGTCTCAGAATGATCTTACTGAGGTGTTCCTGTCATTTTGATTTTCCCATTTGGCTTTAAAGCATAGATTTTGCATGTCTTAGGCAGCCGAGATTAAAATACAGCATTCAGAAGAAAGTCATAGATAATTTTGATTACACTTCCACTGGCCGGAAGCAGTTTTTCCTGTGCAATTGAATCAGCATTTTTTGATTGAAAATTTTCCACCAGCTCTAGTCAAAATTGGACTGCCAGCTGGCAAAGCTTCTGCTGGCTCTGGCATTTGCGTGGCCCTGCCACAGGAAAGGGGATGCTCCAAGGCAGCAGGTTTAGTGGCAGTGGGCAGCACTGGGGCAGGCTGAGACCTGGCCAGGGAGAAGGGCAGGGGAGCATGAGGCATGGGGGAAGATGTTTGGGGCATCAAAGCAGGAGCAAGGGGAAAGGGCGAGGTGGTGAAAGCATTAGTGAAGAGGCACCTGGATAAAAGAGGATTGAGGAGAGTTTAAAAAGTTGCCCACTTGGTACTTGATGGAAAAACCTATTCCTGGCTGAGATCCCAGGTGTGGCAACTGGTGACAAAACCATCTGTGCAGAGCCCAGCCCTGCAAGCCGCTCTGGGTACATGGAGAGGTATCACTGCAGCCCCAAACCAAGGCAGATTTGCAAGTGCCGGCCCTTGGGTTGTGCAGGAATTTCTCCCTGAAGCCAAGGGAGATAGAGGAGCTCTGCGGTGAGGGATGTAACTGTACTGGTTTATCCAGGGCAGAACAGGCAGGATCCCTCTCCTGACCCTGGTGGGTCAAGCTGCCCCCTCGCAGCATGGAGGTGTTGGGGGTGGCTGCCCTACCACCCTGGTCTGGTGGGTGAGAAGGAACCACAGGGGTTTGTGCTGAGGTTGGAGAGGGAGTGTGCCAGTCCCCTCTGGTCTGCCCACTGGGCTCTGGGGGTGGGAGGAGCGCATGGCCTGGAGTGAGAGACCTTGCCAGCATCCTGCTGACTGCACGACCACCGAGCAAACCCGTGTGTCACGCAGGCATGGAGGAGTAGGCAGAGAGAGGAAGCTGTATGCTCCTGAGGGTCCTTGCTCAGGCCCCGGTGCATTTGCAGCCATCCATGGTCCAGGGGTTACATGTCGGCAGTATGGAAGTGTAAATCAGACTGTTTATCATGCAGAGGAGGTGACATGTGGTGAAGCAGCCTGGCTGTAAAATCCCCTCTGACATGCACAGAGTGTCTTCTGCTGGGAGAAGCTGGGATCACAGCCACTGGGACCACCACCCCACCCACCCTGCAGAGCTGTCTGCGGGGCCATGCTGGCCAGGCTCCCAGAAGCAGCCAGGGTTGGCTGTCACCAGCACTAGCAAGCCACCTGCCTACCCTGCAGCTCTGTCCCCATAAGGTTTCAGTGCTGGGCAGTTCCCCTCTGCACAGGTGGAAGAGGTGAGCTTGCCTTGCCAGCTGAGAGCAGGATATCACTCTGCAGTATCAGTCTCGTGGTCCCTACAGCAGGCTGGGGGTGTGCCCCAGTCCCCCAGTGCTCCCCTCTGCAGCCTGAGCTCCCCCACGGCTATGGGTGTTGGGGACAAGAGAGGGTTAAGCTGTCAGCTCTGTAATGTTAAACAGGTGTCAAAGGCACCTCCATATATCTGCAGATTGAAATCAAATTCTTTGCAGTATAAAAAGATAAATTACCCAGGCGATTCCCGCCTCATCCCACTCATCAGGCCAGCGCCAGACGGCAAGCAATTTTTTTTTTTAATGTGCTAACGACCTAATCAAGCAATCAAGTCGGAGAAGATTGCGGAGTGACCCCGAGCATCCATCTGCCAGCGAGACCCCGCCATTCATTTCCATTCTGCCGTGTACTTTCCGGGAAAGGGAGGGGAAAAAAAAGAAAAGAAAAAAAAATCCTAAACAAATTAACACCCAATTTTCTGTGAGTCTAATTAGTTAAATGAGGAGGTGTTTGGGGTGTCCGTGGGGAGGGAGGGGCTGCCTCTCCGAGAGGGGCCTGGTAACTCCATGGCATTAATTAGCGCAGGTCAATGGCGTGGTTCCCTAGGGACCAGCTGCTTTAATTTCCCGTGATATTTCAGTGCCTGAGGCCCATCGATTCAAACTGAAATTAACTTATTTTTCAATCAGGCCTGGGCTGCCCCTGGGGCTGACTCTTCCTTTGCCTCCTTCTGAATAGACCTCGAGCAATTTTTCATCTAAAGCTGATGCCTCTGCTCGGCAGAAAGGGAGGGGAGCCGGGGAGGGAGGAGGACGAGGGAGACAAGAGGAATGGAAATCAGAGAGAGAGCGCTAATAGATTTCTGCGAGCATACCCCCCCATCGCCACCCGCCTCTCAGCTCGCTGCCCCCCAGGTCACAGCTCAGAGATTATTCTGCCAATTTTCTGAGAAGATGAGGGGCTTTTCAAACTGGGAATTCAGGGCGAAGCGCACAGATCAGCTTCCCCCTTCTCCCGCCTTTCCCGAGCATCCGCCCCCATCCCAGCCCTTCCTGCAGGCACCGCTGCCCACAGCCCCCTGCCGCAGCTCAGACACCCAGTAAATAATGAAAGAAAATCCCAGGCATGAGAGCCAAAAGCCGCTAGAAAAAGGCGCTGCGATGGCAAATTAATTACATCCTGCGGAGAGGTATGGGATCTGCTCTCAAGCTTGGCCCTTGCCGCTCCTGTAAGGGAGGGAGGGAGAGTTACCTGGTGGCTGCTGCATGGGGAAGAGGTCGCAGTGCTTTCGGGATGAGCATCCACGCATCTGCCTTCATCCCACTGCACGAGCGTATGTGTGTTCCCATGCGCGAAGGGGACCGACGCACCTTCTCTCCCCAAAAACCCCATGTCCTGCCTTGTCACCCGCCCCAGGTTTGGTTCCAGAACCGCCGAGCCAAATGGCGGAAGAGGGAGAAATGCTGGGGCAGGAGCAGCGTGATGGCTGAGTACGGGCTCTACGGTGCCATGGTGCGTCACTCCATCCCACTGCCCGAGTCTATCCTCAAGTCTGCCAAGGATGGCATCATGGAGTCCTGCGCTCCTTGGCTCCTGGGTAAGAGAGCAACCGCCTTCGTGAGGGATGGCAAGTGGGCTGAGATGAAGTGGGGGGATGCGAGGAAGAAACCGGAGCCATGTCAAAAACACAGGTGGAGGGCAGCAGGGTGAGGTCCCCCCACCCTGCCGCCCTCCGCCCCCCCGTCCCCCAACAGCCATTGTCAATAGGGTCTCACCACTCATCCCAAATCCCTGCTGGTCCTTGGATCCTGACCTGCAGTTTCTGGCTGGGGCAGGAATTTACCCCCCATGCTCAGGCTGGTGTTAGCGTTTGACTCCCATGGCATGAGCATCCCTCATGCCCAGCCCTGGAGCAGGGGTTCCCACCCTTGCCCAAGTCAGGAGGTCATCCTAGTCTGACTCTCCCAGCCCCATGATGCTGTGTGGGGTGCTGGGACCCCCAAATGTACTCTCCTTGCCCCAAATCCCAGGGGGAACACACTGCTGCCTCCTCCTGCTCTTGGTACCTGGGGGAGCTGCATTTCTGCCTGGTTTCGCTTGGTTTTCTGTGCAGACACGGAGGTGGCAGCTACCCTACCACACTCCTGCCCTTTGCTTCCCACTTTCTGACTTTTCAGGCTGGTTCTGCCCCAAAACTAGTGTCTGGCATCTTGATGACGGGCTGTCCTGTCCTTCTATCTGTGTGAAACTGCTAGAGGCAGAGGGGAGGGTTGTGTGAGGAGCAGGTTGATACAGAAATAGGCAATGGGGGATCTCCTTGCCCAGCCTTGGTGAAGCTCAGGCAACTGTGCTGCTGTCTGAGACTCTCATCCCCATGCGAGGACAAGTTAGCTTTAGGTTCACACAGAGAAATGAAGGGGAAAATAATTATAGACCTTTGGGGGCAGCCCTGAGGGGCCACGGATGCTGGGCTGCCCCAGCAGGCAGCTGCCTTGCCTGGGCTGCCCTCGCGCGGGGGCCAGAGCGAGCGGCTCGCCGTGACTGCTGCATGAAGCGAGGGTTTCTGCTTTTCCTTAATTCTGGCCTCTCTTTATCTTTGCTGTTTTCAGTTCAAGATGGCTTTCCCATGCCCAGGCGCTTTTCTAAACCCGAATACCAACAATTCTTTTTAGGGATGCACAAAAAGTCTCTGGAGGCAGCGGCTGAGGCGGGGAGGAAGACGGAGGTGGAGCGCCAGGCCCTGCCCAAGCTTGACAAGGGTGACAAGGAAGAGAGGGGCCAGGATCCCAAAACCACCATTTCCCAGGAGGAACTGAGAGAAAACAGCATTGCCGCCCTCAGGGCCAAAGCTCAGGAGCACAGCACCAAAGTCCTGGGGACCATCGCCGGGGACACCCCGGCCCCAGGCAGGAAGCCGGAGACAGGGGAGGAGGTGGCAGTGGCGGAGGATGAGAGACAGACGGAGAAGTTGAACTCGTCGCAGAAGGAGGAGAAGCTGATCTAGGGGGGGGAAGAGGTGGCGGAAGCCAGCCCCAACAGACACTGTGTCCTCTGGGGGACGCGTTCCCCCTTGGACTGCCAGGTCCCCACAGCCGCCCCTACCCAGGGAGCGGGGCCTTGGTCTCTGAGTTTGGGGCTACCTGGCAGGGGTGCACCCCACCTGCTCCCCTCGAGCATACCCCTGCCCCTCGCTCCTCTGCCCCGCCGGGCCTTCCTCACCCCCCCCCCTTCCTTTTGGGGGACCAGGAAGTGTCTCATCATCGTCGGCACCCGAGAGGACACCGAGGCTCTGGGTCCCTCCAGCCTCACGACCAGCTCTGGGGCTCTCTCCTCCTGCTCCAGCCCCAGACCCTATCTGCCATCTTGGAGCGAGCCTATCCCCTGCCGCCATGCCCCTCCTTGGTGCACGTCTCCCCCCAGTGCTGCCCAGGCCTCATCCCCTGGCACCCCGTCCCGCCATGCTCCAGGCAGACCCTCCACCTTCCCCTGGCCATCATCTCTGCCTCTGGCCCAGGCCACAGCAGGACAAGCCCGTGGCAGTGTTTGCATGAAATGGCGACTCTCTGTCCAGGGTGGTTTGCACCTTCCAGCCGTCTCTCCCTGCCCAGCACTGGGGTCTGCTGGGAAGGGGCTGCAGCTTTAGAGCGGTTGAGTTTTGCCTCCGTTTGGCAGGGAGAGGCAGGTTTAGCCAATGGGTGCGACACCCTGGTCCCACCTGGCACCTTGAGGTGACCCCAGCCCACGTTGCTGGCTCCCGCAGGGCTGGCCACCACAGACGGGTCTGACTCTGCCCCAAATGCCAAAGCCCTGCACCCCTGCGGAGGGGCCCAACAGTGAATTTATTTACTGAATACATTATTCCAGGTGAGACAACATCCGCCTAATGTATTTATTGAATTAAATTTGTCCAGCTCTCCCTCTGTGTGTTAAAGGGAATGACAGCCATGCACATCCACCCCGATACACCCTGTAACGTGTACATACGTCTCCCAGCTGGCCCCACACGAGCACACACAGGCCCACACAGCCAAACCCACTCCATGATACCATCACCTTTCCATCCCGGTAAGGCGCTGTTCCCCCCCCCAAAAGCCGTAGGACAGTGACTTCCAGGCGACCCTTTCTGTCCTGCTTTCAGCTGTGAGCACCCTTTCCCCAGAGCTACTGTTTTTCTTCTGTCAAAGGTTAAGCCCCGCCATCCAGCCCCTGTTTGTCTTTGTCCCCCGGTCGTTTGACGTGTTAGATGATAGCCCATGGTGTGTAAATAATGTATATACAGTGAGAAAAGAATTCAGTATTGAGGTGTTTGAGATATGGAGCTGTAACAACTTCTAGTCATCCAGCATCTGTGATTTATGTGCCATTTTCTGTAAAGATATGAACAAGAATAAAACTAAACGGGAATACTATGTATGAGTCTGGTCACTGATGTTCAAGGAGGGTGAATTCAGCCAAAGCTGAGAGGGGGTTGGACATCAGACTGTAGCCGGAGGGAGGTGGGAGCTCCAAAGCAGCACGGAGAGATGTCTGCACCTTCCTCCCCACCCAGGCATGGGGAAGACAGGGCTTGGGTGCTGCTCTCCCTTTGTGGTGAAAGACAAAGCTGAAAGGGGTGTGCGTGTACATGGGGCAGAAGTTAGGCGTCATGGCATACAAATGGTCAGAGAACAAGTCACTTCGGCATCCAGAACAGCTCTGGTGCGTTGGGTCACTCCATATCATATGTACCCTGACGTTAGAGAGCCAGGCAGACCTTTGGGCAGGCTCAGTCTCTCTGCCAGGAGCAGGCTGCAGGGCCCAGCTGGCCTGAGGAGCAGATGTGGCAGCCAGACGCGGCAAGTGCAGGGGAGCTTGTTGAGAGGGAAGGGCACCAACAGGTATTTCCAGCAAGGCGAGCCCCGATTTGAGAGTAGCAGGAGCCCATACTGAGTTATCAGAGAAGGAGCTGAGATTTTCCTGCCCTGCTGAGGGCATCTGGCAATGGTCTGATGGAAAAACCTGGTGTCTTACGGGGGAAAAAGGCTGAGGCACAGCAGTTGTGCATAGGAAATGAGAGACTTTGCTTGTGGAACAATGACACTGCTTGGGCTTGACTTTGCGGAGGGCCTGTAGGCCCACAGGACTACGTTTCCCTGGGGGGGACAGAGCCCTCGTAGGTACTCAGCTAGCTCTGGGAACAGCTCTGATACAAACCAGGTGTGTGGTCTGGGATGAGTGCACCTGCCATCAAATAGTGCCTGTCTCCCATACTGGTGTTCAGCCTGTTCACCAAACATATCAGCCCTGCAGACCATGACTGGTGTTGCACTACGAAGAGCATGGAGATCTACTAACCGTCTCATCTCTGCTGTTGATCCCATTGGTGTGCCTGGCTGAGAACAGCCCTGCTTGCAGGCAGAACCTTTTTCTGCTCTTCTTTTGTGTCCACTAGGAAAGGAGGGGAACCTGGTCAATGAAATTAAGGAAACCTCCAAGCTCTGCCTTAAAAAACACTACCTGTATAGGGCCTGAAGGAAAGGAAGGCAGAAAAAAAGCTGTTTGGAGGCAGGAACGCAGTTTAGCTCTCCTACAGTGAGTGGTGGGAGGTCTCGGCACGAGGAGATGGGCTGCAGTGTTTCATGCCAAACCACCACCCCCTGCTCCACCATGGCCTCACCGAGTGCTCCCAGTCCACCCTGTGGTACAGACTTGTCTGAAGTGTCTGGGAGGAGGCAGAAAGCCCAGCTCAGCTTGCTGGAGGGGACAACTCTGATAGCTGCCCAGCAGTGAGGTGGGATGGGATGCAATATCCCCCTCCTGCAGCAGACAGCTGCAGGAGAAAAACCTTCCCTGGCCCACCAAAGACAGCACAGCCTAGTGCTCTGCAGGGATAGGCCTTAATTTGGGGAAGGCGATGGTCCCATACTAGCATGGAGGGGACCCTAACTTTTACAGGTGAGCTGCCCCAGGCTGCTTTCATGGCCAGCAGAGGACCAGGGGGCTGCAGGGGGGGGGGCGGGATTGGGGAGCAAGGGGATAGGGATGAATAGAGGGAGGGGGGAGGGAGGCGAGTGGGGGTGAAGCAGAGGGGTCTGGGAGCACAGCACAGCCCCAGGAGAGCATTGAGCAAGAGCGGGCTGGTAGATCCTGGCCCGGGCACCTCGGCCCCATGGGGAGCCCAGGCACCCGCTGAACCTGGCTCCCATTCAAGAGCAGCTGTCAGGACTCAGATTAGCATGAAGGTTATTTTCAGTCAAATATTTCTACAGCCCACCCCTTTCTCCTCCCTTAAAGGGATTGAATTTCTTTTTCCATGTAGCGCTCTGGAAGAGAGGAGGAGAGGAACGAGGCAGAGGAGAAGGGGTGCCCGGGCTCCCTGCACGGCAGAGCTGCTTTTTGTCCAGTCAGCCCAGGGCGACTTAGCCCCAGCTCCCACACGGGCCCGTCTTGCCCAGGCTGGGTGTCCCGAGCATCTGCAAGGGCTCCAGGCATCCACCTCGTCGATGAGAGGCAGGCGCCCTGCAATGATGGCCAGGCTGCTGGCTAGGGCTTGCTGCCCCAAAGCTCTTCCTCAGGGTCCCAGATGCTCCCTTGGGTCAGTGACTGCCAGAGCCTGGAGCAACGGGCCTCTCACCGCCTACATGCCCGAAGCTGTCGCCTTTCCCAAACCCAAGGACCACCAAGGCTTGTACAAGGTGTCAGTGGAGCAGGGGGATGCCTTCTGGGGAGCACTAGGGAGGAGCCGGCTCACCTGGATCACCCCCTTCCACTCTGTCCAGGACTGTGACCTGCGCCAGGGCAGGGTCTCCTGGTTCCTGGGTGGGCAGCTGAATGTGTCAGGTAAGGAGGGGGGTGCGCACGGGAGCCCACCAAGTGCCTGCAGGTGCCTCTCTGTGAAGGGCTTTGGCCCTGGGAGCAGATTGGAGGAGCACAGAGTTAAATGGTTGGCGTGAGGAGGATTCCCAAAAGGTCCAGTTGGTCCTGCAGTGGCTGTAATGTAAGGATGTGGCTGGTCCTAAGAGAGCAGCTGGGTCTCGCTGGAGGGGCTGCAGCTGGATCGGGGTGTGCTGGGAGCCAGGCAGCCGTCCCTCAGCCTCTGTGGATCCCACAGCAGTGCAGTGGCTCCATTCTGTAGGACCATATGCAACAGCACCGAACCCAGTGCATTCAGCAGGCAACGTTGCACTAGGTTATTCCTGCCCAGAGAAGGCAGTATGTATCTGCAGAAAGCAAAATACAGGAGCAATGAGCGGTACTGGAAGTCCCCACAGCTGTGGGAAGCTCTTCTTCTGTGGGCTGGGGCTACTGCCTTAGCGGGGCTACCAGGGCAAGACATAGGGGCTGGTGACACTGCATCCTGCTCACAGTGCTCTTGATTCCAGTGTTCAAAATCTGAGACAGACCTCTCAGAAATCAGGTCTTATGTAGTCCATTTGGGCAGGACAGCAGGAGTTATTTGCCTTTGGGATTTGAGATCTTATTGTTCCCCCTTTCATGTGTGTTTCTTCCTCTCCCAGAAAACTACAAGTGGTCAGGAGAAAAAGGCATTTTGGTATGCAGACTAGGGCTGCTGCATCATCCCATGGCCTCAGTAGCAGGTTTAAGGAAAACACAGAGTGAAACAAGGCTTCTGAGGAAACTGCAGCTGCCAGCAATGCGGTAAACTTTTCTCAGAAGAATTACAGCCAAAGCCTCAGCCAACCACGTCCCTGGAAAGCCAGAGGCTGTGCACTCCTGACCCTGGTTCTCTTCCACCTTCGACAAATGCACCCTGCAGACTTCCTGCACAGAGCTTCGCTTCATCATACGTTTGTTATTTAGGAGCACCACCACTAAAAACCAGCCCTACTCCACCCCGGAGGCAGCTGCAAGGCAGTGCTGGGTGGAATGATGGCTGAGCTGATGTTTGCCAGGCCCTCTGAGGGCACTGGGGATGTGACCTCCAAAGGGACTTCGGGCAGTTTCTGCTCTGGACTGCGTTAGGTTGCAATTAAGAGGGAAGGTGATAGTGGGGATTGGTAGGTATTGGAGTGGTAATGGACTTGGGATGGTGCTTGTGATCTGCTGGCTGGTATCCACAAAGGTTTTTTCAGTGGATGCACAAGGCTAATGCTAAGAAGACTCACACACAGCCCTGACTGTTCTGAAAACGGGACTGCCAGTGCTGGCTTTATGGGAATTAGGAGGTACTGAGGGTTGCTCTGGCAATGAGACTGGGTTGTCTTTTCCAGTGAATTGTCTGGACCGACATGTCCATGTAGCCCCAGACAAAGTGGCCTTAATCTGGGAGAAGGATGAACCAGGAGAGCAGGTGCAGGTCACGTACAGGTCAGTACTTACCTCTGAGTGTATGAGAGATGTATTGCAGCGTGCATAAACACTGCACAGGGCTGATCTGCTGATATGCATCATATGAGGGGGTACAGCATCCCTTCACACAGATAGATCAACAGTATGGTGGCTGTTAGCTTGCCTGGGCTGATCTGAGACTTCAGCCTACCTCCTGATTAACCTTCTGGGGCCCGAGGTGTCCCTACCCATCTGGGGACAGAGATGTAAGCCGCTTGTGGCAGCACTGCAATGCTTGTAGGTAAGACCACATGGGAAAGTCAGACGTGTGCCTTCCCAGCAAGGTTCCTGGTGTCTAAACTTGCAGGTAAATGGTCTGCAAGAGAGGCCAGATTCACAGCCACATGTGTGTTGGGAAGTCCCATGCTCATCTGCATGTCAGCAATGCTGCTGGGTTTGTCTCTCTGGGGCGACTGCCTGTCCAGCCCTGCTAGGTTAGTCTGGAGCCCCCCACCTTCCAGTTCAATTTGTCTGCTCTCCGAGTCTCCCCTACAGAATCCACTTAAATCCCTCTGCACACAGAACAAGTCCCTGTGTGCTCTCTGGCTCCAGAATTCACACGACAAACACGACCATCCACCACTGCCAATCTCTCTGCACGGAGAGCCCTTCCATGAAATGAGTCACTGACAGCCAAGCCATGGTTTCTGGGAGGGATGCTTCTCGGGAGAGGCATTGTTTTGCTCACTGCTTTCCTATAGCTGTTGTTCTCTCTGGTGGGCCCAAGCTGTGGAGGACTTGACCTTCCCAGCTTTAGCAAAGCATGGGGCCCTTTTTTCATGGGGGAAGACATCTATCTAACTCCTCACGTGTAGCTTCCAGCCTTGCAGGGTAGTGTGTTGCTCCAGTTGTACAGGCTGATAAGAAATGTGCAGGCTGCCATTGGGAAAGTCAGCTGAGGTGGTGTGGGCTTGCTGAGCCAGAGGAATTGCCAGTGGCCATTGCTGGCCCAATGGCTTGCTCCTGATGCTGGCCAGTGAGAGTGTCAAGCCCTGTACAGAGGCCATTCTGTTTTATTTTTTCCGTAAATAACGGCCCATGTTAGCGACTGTCTTCTCCTTTCCTTCCCACTGACATTTTACAGCTCTCCCATGGACTTCCAGCGTGGGGGGTTAGGGTGCGTAGGGATGTAAGCTGCATACCTGTGACTCTGAGGCCCCCCAACTTTATGCACACAGGTAAGATCTGCAAGAAAGTCTCTAACTGTGCCATTGCTTCTTTGGGCAGGGAACTGCTGGAGCTGACATGCCGCCTGGGAAACACCTTGAAACGGCAAGGGGTGAAACGGGGTGACAGGGTGACAATCTACATGCCTCCATGCCCGCTGGCGGTGGCTAGCATGCTGGCCTGTGCCCGCATTGGGGCTGTGCACGCTGTGGTGTTCGCTGGGTTCAGTGCAGAGTCCCTAGCAGACAGGATCCAGGATGGTAAGAGCCAGTGGGTAACAGGAACTTGTGTTTCCCTTGGGGGACAGTGCTGAGCTTGTTGGTTTGGCAGCTGGGGGGCTCAGGGTTGTGCTGCTGGCAAAGGTTTTCTGAGTAAGACTCCCTGGGCTAACTGAGGGTGTCCTGTCGTGATGTATGGCCATGGAGCAGGGATTAGCACCCCAGGAAATTGCACGGGCTCACTAACACAACATGAGATGGACTGGTTCTCTCCTTCATCCAAGGGACTAAAGAGCTGGGATACAGCATGTCCTCTGAGGGGATGCAACACAGGCAGGAATGAATGGGAAACAAAGATGCAAAGCTGCTGTTTTTGCTAAATGGAGGACATGAGTAACAGGGGCTGGGAGACAGAGGGAGATGTGCAGGGTCATGGTAGAGCCAAAGTGCTGTGTGACTGATGGAGAGGGGCAGAGCTGCTTATGTGGCTCTTCTGCATTCTGCAGCCCAGTCGGAGACAGTGATCACAGTGAACCAGGGCCTGAGAGGCGGCAAGGTTATTGAGCTAAAGAAGACAGTGGACCAGGCTGTGAAGCAGTGCCCAGGAGTGAAACGGATTCTGGTTTCCATGAGGACCGACAGCAAGGTTCCCATGACAGCCCTGGATGTGCTGCTGGAGGAGGTGAGAGGCTGTCCAGTGCTACTGCCGCTTCCCCTGAGCAATGTGCCCACTCTGGGAGCAGGGACAGGGGGTGAAGAGAGGGTGCTGGCTGGCCATGACAGTTTTGCTGGCATTGACACAATGTGGGGACATTGTCCTGCAGCAGCAATGGCAGCTGGAGCTGCATATGAGTTCAGGACAGTCCCAGGAGCTGTCAGGATGGGTAACGGGGTGGCTCTTCCCACAGCAGCAGCCCTGTACTGTCAGAGGCAGGCAGTGCAAACCAGGGCTCGTAGCAGAGTGGAGCAGGGGCTAGAAACACCCCAGACATGGGCTGACATGTTCTGAGCCCAGCCTTGGACTGCCACTGCACTGTCACACATGGCTCTGCTGGTGGACCTGGCACCCTCTGTGAGCGCCGCCAGCAGCTTGTGTGTGAGGAAGCAGGCAGTGAAGTTGTTTGTGTGCCCGTTATTTGTGGCACACAGGATGGCCAAGCCGCCAGCATGGAGCACTTTTTCTGAAGAGGTAAGCCCCTGCTGTGCATTTCTCTTAGCTCCCTGGACCTGCACAGAGGTCTCCTTGCCTCTGCCCATCCCATCTGCAAGCAATTTGTGCTAGAAAGGCTTCCTGGAAGGCTTCTGTGCTGGTCAAAGCAGCGGCAGCTTAAAAATAGCTGTCTCTTACTCAGCAGGTCTGCTCTGGCTGAGGAAAGTGTTTGCTAGCTCAGCAAGGCGAAAGAGAGTTCAGGCTGGTGAGCAAAGGGAGGGGAGGTGCAGAGGCAGGGAGGATGGCATTGGGGGAGCAGGGTAGCACAGGTGCTCAGAGGGAGGCTCAGGGGAGAGGTGCTCAAGCGGGTGTAGGGACAGCACAGGGAAGCCTGTGAGACCCCAAGAGAGAACTGCTGTGCTCTGTCCTGCAGGAGATGATGAAGGAGGATGCGTGCTGTGAGCCTGCTGCCATGGACAGTGAAGACATGTTGTTCCTTCTCTACACATCAGGCAGTACTGGCAAACCCAAGGGTCTGGTTCATTCCCAGGCTGGTTACTTGCTGTTTGCTGCTCTTACACACAAGGTAATGGATCCCAGCCACAGGGTGCTCATCAGCTAGCAGTTTATAGGCAGTGCAGGGAATAGACGTACTGCCTTGTTGCACCATGAGCTCATCCTTATCTAGAGCAAAGTCTCTGGGAAGCCCTCCTAGGGCATCAGCCCAGTAGAGCACATCAGCCTACAGGTAGTGGGGAAGAGCAACACATGCTCTGGAGCAGGGCTTCCCAAACACGTAGGCCTCTGAGCTACCTTCTTGGCTTTCTTCTTTCACTGCCTTATCCTAGACTGAATCATTGGATGGGATGCTCAGCCTTGCAAGGGTAATTTTATATTACTGGCTGAGGAGGAAGAAGCCGATTTGCTCCTAAAACCTCTGGCTTGCTTTCCCTACATGTAACTACCACAACTCAGGTGGCAGATCAAAGGCAGTGCTTCTGGGAGGGGCACATTCGAGGGTATCTGTAAAAGCTGGTGAGTGCCCTCAAGTCAAAGGGTCTATACCTGAAGAGTGTGGGTCATCTTTGGGAAGAAGAAAGCCTTTAACCCCTAGCATGCCCAAAGCAAACAACTGTAATAGAGCTGGATAAAAGGGCACTAAGCACAGCATGGAGCTGCACTTGGCTGCAGGAATGGTTACAAGGGACATTTCCTAAGACTTTATATAGAGTCCTCTGGAAGAGGGAGTTCTCTGAACAGTCCCTTAGCTTTAGGTCTGGCTCTCCCTGTGTGTGACTTAAGTTCCAGTAGTGCCTCAGACCACACACCCTATGATACAGTAAGCTAAGTGCTGACTGGGTCTTCTCTGTCAGCCGTGAGTGCTGGAGGCCAGACCTCCTGGGGTGTGTGCAGGGAAGCCCTTGGTTTTCCTGGGAGCTAAGCTGTCTGTACAGCTGCGCCCAGCATGATAAGTGACCCTCTTGAGACCATCAGAGATGGTTTGCGAGAGCCAGAGCTGCCATCCCAGAATAGTAATGCAGGGAGTGAGCAGCATGTGGCCATGTTAGCACTCAGGAGCACTGGAAACTGCGACACAGGGCTGGCACGCTCAGATCTCTCAGTTGGATGGGGCAGACCGCTGCTACCATAATTCACCACTCGGTTAAAAAGAGGCAGAGCAAGCAGGGGAAGTTTCCATTACAAGCACCCTGGAGCACTTGAGGCCCTGGAGTCCCCAGCTGGCAGCCTACAGACAGGGAGCTGCAGGAAGAGACAGGAAGGTCCTAAACACCAGATGCCAGAGCGGAAGGCGAGAAGCGATGGGCTAATGGGAGACGGGCCCCTGGGGAGCTTTCCTGGTGCTGAGTAAAGGAAATGAAGGAGAGTGCTTGAGGAAGCTGGATGTGTTGCTGCCTGTCTGATGGCACTCAGTTCTACCCTGCACGGGGCAGGCTCGTTCCCTCATGCTCCAGCCTTGCAGCGAAGGGTCTCCTGAGGCATAAATGGGGCAGCGGGAAAAAGAGCTTGTTCTGCTTTCTGCCTGCCTGCAGGTGCAGGGCTGTGCTCACCCAGCTGAGGCGGAGAGGTGCCAACTCCTGCGGGCAAGCTGGGGCTACTGGGCCGAGGCATCTCACGGTCCATCTGCTTGCTGCCTCAGTGCTCCTATGCTGGGGTCCTTGCTGAGCTCAGGGTTTTCCTGAGTCTTTACTGTGTATTTGGAGCCCAGCAGCACCTGGGAGTGGCTCATGGAGTCCTTCACTGCATTGCCCTTGCTTACAACTCCTCTCCTTCCATGTGGTCATGTAGGTGTGGAGGGAGGGACCATCCTCACCCTGAAAGTTCTCCTGTTTTGATGTGACAGGATACTTGGATCAACCTTGTCTAGATACCAGCAGAAGGAAGGAAAGGCTGTAGCTCTCTGCTTTGGAAAAGAGCAAATTTGGCTGTGTTGGGTTTGGTTTTTTTTTAAATGTCTCTCTCTCCTCCCACACCTTCATAAAGCACCTGACATTTTATTTTTTTCTGATAATGTTTTAAAAAACTCTTTGCAGGAAGAAGGTGTCCCTGCAGGGGTGGTGGGAAAACAGAAGGATACCATAACGTTAGGGTGGAGAAAGGGTACGCTGCTCCCGGTTGTCCCCCTTGCCGGGAGGGCAGGCCCAGGCTATACCCCTCACTGCCTCTCCTCCCTTGTGCAGTACGTGTTCAACTACCAGGACAGGGATATCTTTGGCTGCGTGGCAGACATCGGCTGGATCACAGGGCACACTTATGTGGTCTACGGCCCCCTCTGCAATGGTGGCACCACAGTCCTTTTTGAGAGCACTCCCATCCATCCTAACCCTGGTGAGTGAGAAGGTGTCGCGGGAGCTGGGATATGCCACAGCCACCCTGCGAGACCCACAGCAGGCAGGGAGCTGGAGGCTTGATGCCAGGACACAGGCAGCAATGGTTTTGCTGCCGCAGAAGCAGACTGCAGATTGTGCCCAGCAGACAGCTGCGAGGGCAAGAGTCTTTTCCTCTGGTTAGGAAGCCACTGCTGCTTCTCCAGGGGTGAAGCTGTTTCTCCCCATCCCTCCCTGCAGCATGGAGAGTAGCAGAGCTAGGTGATGTGGAGGAAAAGGGGCCACTGCTGCTCCTGGACTGCTTTAGTCCTTCCCAGTGTGGGATTAGCTTGGCTGAGGGTCCAGGCACTGCTCTCATCTCCTCTCCCTCTATCTTGGTCTTGGGCTGGGAGGATCTGTGTGGATGGTTACTGACCCCATTTCCATTCCAGGCCGCTACTGGGAAACAGTGGAGAGGTTAAAAATTAACCAGTTTTATGGAGCGCCCACTGCCATCCGCCTTCTCCTGAGATACGGCGATGAATGGGTGAAGAAGTACGACCGCTCTTCTCTCAAAGTGCTCGGCTCAGGTAACTGCTAGTGGCATGGGCTGGAGCAGCAAATCCTTGGGCATCAGGTTGTGCCTCTTCCCACAAATGCTAAGAGCAGCAGCACACGAGAGTGGAAAGTCAGGAGCCTGCGCTGTTTGGGGGTGGCTCTGTGAGCAGACCCTGGGAAGCTGTGTCTTTGACCTGCTCTTTCAGCTTTGTCCCTTTGTCTTTCCCTTTGCAGTGGGGGAACCCATCAACAAGGAGGCCTGGGAGTGGTACTTCCATGTGGTTGGTGAGACACGGTGCCCAGTAGTGGACACATGGTGGCAAACTGGTGAGATGCGTACGACCCCTTGTTCCAGCTTCTGCTCTCCCAGGCTTTAGGAGTGACCTGCTGCTTTGTTGGCCAAGTGGGAACGGTTGTTACTGACACTCTTGTAGGAGCAATGCCGTAAGGGGCCATGGACACCAAAACATGAAAGAGAGAAATGGCCTTTAAAGCTAACCCAGAGAAACACGGGGGAATTGATGGCAGGGAGCAGATCTCTGCTGAACTATGTGAGCAAGATCATCCTTCTGCAAAGAGCCTTCCTTCCCCAGCTCTCTAGCAAACCAGCCCCAGCCTGTGGTCTAGCAGGGTGCAGTGAGGGCCAGGGCAAAGGCTGTTGGTCAAGCAGTGCTACCTGGCTTTTCTCTTGTCCCTGACTTTGATGAGCATTACAGTTTCTTTTGCTTTAGAAACAGGAGGCATCTGTATCTCACCCCGTCCGTCTAATCCTGGAGCGAAAATCCTTCCAGGCATGGCTATGAGACCCTTTTTTGGGATCAGCCCCTCCCTCCTGGATGACAAGGTACATTTATAACCTGCAGCCTGGGCACTGGCTCAGCCCGCTTTCCCCCAGGCGCTTGCAGCATGTACTTGCTGATGGGAGCGGAGGTCTGTAACCACATCTTTCCTGCTCACCTCTGCTAGATGGTAACCTTCTTTACTGGAAGGGGATTAACAGTGAAGCTGTTCTTCCAACTAGTGCAGAAGTTGAATTTTTTTTTTGCTAGCTTCCTCTGTCCTGACAAGACAGGCTGTGCTTGGGCTCCCTGGCACATGTCTTTCCAAGGTGAGGTAGCTAGGCAGGGACAGCCAGCCTCCCTAGAGGGGCACAGTGTCCCACCATGGTAGTCGGCTAGTTGCAGATATCTGCTGGGAGACACTGAGCCTGTCCCATTGTAGTCGGGGGCACAGGACTCTCCCCACTGCCTTCCCTGACATTTCCATCACAGGGTTGTTAAATAGACAATGACTAAACAACCCAAGTACCCTCAGCCATGGTTACTAAAATGTTAACTATTTTACAGGGAAACGTCCTTCTGGAAAACAACATTTCTGGAGCTCTTTGCATCTCACAAGCCTGGCCAGGTATGGCACGAACCATTTACAATGACCACAAGAGATTTCTGGAAACCTATCTGACTCCTTATCCAGGTAAGGAAAACAGAAAAAAAGGCAGGTCACAGCAGAGGTGTTTAGTTGGGTACAGTTGGGTCTGCTTGCTGGTTTTCTGCATGGGGGCAGGACTCAGGAGAGCTGGTACTGCTACTTCGTTCTTCCACAGGCCCTCCCGTGGCATTGAGGCCCTTCATCTCCCCATGCCTGATACCTCAGCACTGCCCTGGGAATGGGTCTCTCTCACCAACCTTCCCCATTGGATCACATGTGGTTTTAGGGCAATGGATTTGTCCTTCTGCCCCCAGTCCCCTTGAGCACAGAGAGGCCTTTTGGTGCAAACCCTGTCAGCTTCTGTCGCTCATGCAGAGTTACTGAGCAAGCCCAAGAGTGTGTGCCTTGAAGGAAAGGGGAGAACCTGCAGGACCACATACACCTGCACTGAAACAAAGTGCTCCCGGCTTGTGGTGATGAGGCAGGCTGGGCATTAGCCAGCGCACTGCAGAATGAGGGAAGGAGCCCCATGACAGAGCAGGTACCAACAGAGGCAGAAGACTAACAAGGAAAGTAGGCACCTTCACCCTGAGCAGTTGAGGAAGGAGCGGAGTATGTGAGCCCTGGTGCCAAACGAGAGGAGAAGGGGGTGAGGTGAGAGTGCAGCTGGCAAGCAGCTGACATGCTCACTGCAACAAGTGACCATGGCACGGTTCTGGCCACTGCAGGCTTTTTCTTCACCGGGGATGGTGTGTATCGTACCAGTGAGGGCTACTACCAGCTGACAGGACGGCTGGACGACATCATTAACATCAGCGGACATCGGCTGGGCACTGCAGAGGTGGAGGATATTGTGGTAAGTGGTGTGGGTGGGAGGTAAAGCCATCCAAGGGGACAGCGAAGGCACACGGGTGGTGCTCAGGGAAGTCTCTTTGAAATACCTGAACAGAAACATGCTGCTGCTGTAGCAGCAGGGAACAGTGTTGGACCTACAGCCTGACTGTGGGAACAACTGCCCACCCTCTCCCTTGCCATTCTGGCTCTCTGCAGCAAGGGAGGGACAAAGCCTGATAAGGCTGATGCTGTAAGTGGGTGAATCCCAAAGCGGCAGCCAGGCTTGTTAAGGAGGAGCATCCACAGGCCAGTAGATTGTGGGACCTCGTGGAGCAACCTGGAGGCACAGAACAGGGTCTAGAAGGTACAAGCCTAAAGCAGCCAGAGGGAGGGGGGAAGACTTGTGTTTGCAGACAGACCTGCTGAGGCAAGAAGGAAAAAGGGCAGAGGGCATATGAGGCCCTTCCTTATCCCTCCGCGTTACTGTGGGCTGCAGCAGCCAAGCCGGGTCAGGGCAGCTTCCAGGTGGCAGCCAGCCTGCTGAAAGCACTGAGCCAAACCCCAGTCCTGTTCTCTTCCAGAATCACCACGTGGCAGTGGCAGAGTCTGCTGTCATCGGCTACCCACATGAGATCAAGGGAGAAGGTAAGATGCTTTCCTGCCCCTGAAACATCTCTCATGGGGCTATTGCACTGCAGTGGGAAGTGGCACTGCCACACCCACCCCTGGCAGCAATGCCATGGCAACGCCATACAGCATGTTAGTGGGGATCTTGACACAGCCATCACAACCTACACAAGACCAGCTGGGCTTTGCGTAAGGTGCCAGCAGTAGCACCATGGCAAAAGCACTTACAGCTCAGGCTACAGAGCATCCCCGGAGGCTACCAGCAAAGAGGGACCTCTCCTGGCACTAGGTCCAGGTAGGCTCTCGGAAGCATGCTGTGCACAGTGCTCAGTAACCTGGTGGTCCTTCTGCCAGGAGCCTACGTGTTTGTCGTGCTGAAGAAGGACAGTGGCTACACGCAGGAGGCTCTCACTGCTGAGCTACAGGAGTTGATCTCAAAGAAGATCGCTAAGTATGCAGCTCCAGAGTATGTTCAGGTAACACGTGAAGGATAGTCCAACACCCACCCTAGCAGCCTGGCCAACCCCTTTCCCTCAGCCTTAGCTCTGCTCTTCCCTGTCATAGGTCACACACCGGCTGCCCAAGACACGCTCGGGGAAGATTATGCGTCGGGTGCTAAGGAAAATCGTGGAGGACAAGGCCAGTGAACTTGGGGACCTAACCACCCTGGACGACCATGAAGCTGTGCAGCAGATAATAGAGGGACACAAGCTCCTGGTGGAGGGGTGGAAGACCTGCTAGCTTGGCTCTGCCAGCAGCCTCCTGCTCCTCCACTGCAAAACTGGGGCCACATTCAGAAATGTCACTAAACAACTGGTGGCCAGTAAGTGCTCAGAGACCGTACCTCCACTGCAGTCTCAAAGTGACCCCTCTGCAACACAGAGATCCTCAAAACCTCTGTCTCTACACACCTATGAGAGGCACAGGAGACAACATGACTCATCACAGGCAGAACAGCAAAGGGAGGTGAGCTTTGTTTCCTCCCCTAAAAGCAGAGGGCCAAAAGACCTCCTTGGCATTCCTTGTGCCTTGCAGTAGCTGTGAAGGTAGCAGCAGGCCAGGATGCCTAGCCCTGGATAGGTATATTACTCCTCCCCCTGCTCTGCTCTTCAGCAGTAGTCTAGTCCAGGACCATTGCCAATATACAAGCATCTCCTCCAAAGCAAACCCCAGAAGGAAAAGATGCAGCAGTCTGGTTAACAAATACTGTCTCTTCTCCATAAAAATCTTTGGAAAACAGGCCCCAGATTTTAATACAGAAATGTTCCTTTGACCTGTAACCCTGTGTCAGAAGGAGAGCAGAGACATGCCCCTTTTCTGTGCCAGCATTCTCTTCCCCTTACAGTGCATCCCTTGGCTCCTGCTGGGGAGCACAACCCTCAACAGAGCCACAGGTACAGAAGTCTGTTCTGCAGAGCTGTGCATCAAAGAGACAGAGGTCCCAGCAAGGCACAGAGGGCAGAACAGGAGGCTGCATCCTAGCCTTGCACCACTGCATCCTGGACAAGTGGAGGTTTCTCTCGCCATTGCTTCTACAAGCCCCATAAGCAGCATCTTCTCTTTGGGCAGCCTAGCAGCTCAGCCCTTTCCCCCATGAGAGGGAGGGAGGCAGGAGAAGGGGGTGGGAGAAGGATCACATAGATGTATCTGCTCCTGGCAGAACCCCACACCATGAGTTCAGACTTGGCTCTGTGTCCATCAGCAAAATCCAGAACTGGTCTTGCACTGGATGAATCCCTTGTTGACGGCCGCTGGCTCGGCAGCTCCATGTCTACTATTCAGAGCTCTCCCACGCGTGTACAGGTTCTGTGGCTGACCAGACAAGGGCATGTTTTTCAGCATCCTTCCCCCACTGGGAGCTGCTTCACCTTCTCGCGCTGAGTGAGCTCCCATCTTCCCTCCCCATGAAGTTTCAAAATCCAGCTGTGGAACTGCAATTCAATAACACAATGACTGAGGGATGCTTCTATGAGGGTATATCCTCCCACTGTGAGGCTTGCCAACCTCAGTCACTCCCCTCTGCTCACCAGGGCCCCTCTCTACCTCCCCTTTCTTGCCACCACCAGGCAGGCGTGGAGCGCTGTCTCCCTGTCTCACCTTTTCCAGGCTGGCCCTGTGTCCCACACTAATCAGCGTCATGCCCAGCTGAAGGCACACACGATACAGTTCATGCTCCACCTCTTCTGTGAGGGCACTGGTGGCTTCATCTAGCACTAAGAGAAAAGTAATGAGTGCCACAAATCCCCTCCCAACCAGTCATCTCCCCCTAGGCAAAAGAGCAGCAACTGCAGAGAACATTTCACATATTAACCTGAGTTCACCAAGAACATCTGGAGAAGCCCAAGGACTCTGATTTTCCTGTGGTACAGCTGCTGTCAGTCAACTGGGAAAGCTGCCCTTCCCCACAAGCCCTTGAATCCACCCAAGCCATGCCGTTCACCTCATTCCTCTCCCTCAACAGCTGCCAGCCACTGCCTCGTCCTCACTGTTGTGAAAGCCAAGATGCAACCTTCTCAAGGCAGGTGGTATGCAAGAGCACCAGGCTGAGCAGCAGCCTGTGCACCCCTCCCACCTGGAGCATCCAGGATGGCCTGAGGCACCTTCCTGTCAGTTAAGGGTAAATACTACAGATCTGGAGCAGATAAATATAATTTGGTTTACATCATGTCTACAGCTTTTAGTTTGCAATCCACAGGTTCCTTCTGCCCAGACAGCACTGAAACACACCGCAGGCTTCAGGGGAAGAGAGGTACTTAGATGTGGCTACATGCTACCGACACTGGCTCTGTTCACCCACACCCACCCTGGCCCTCATGACAAGTCCTCCAACAGCCCCCGCCAGTCCCCAGCAGTCACTAGCAATCTATGTATGCAAAGGAATTAGCCCCATCTGCTAACGGGAGCTGCTTCTGTGATCTCTCAGGACCGTTTCTTCCACTGCTCCTTCACTTCTTTTGCTGCGTTACAGCTAAATTTCCCACATTCCATCCATAACCCTGCAGAGGTTCATGAGCTTCAGATATGGCAGCTGACGCCATGCTCCCTAGCATGCACACTTCTTTACATGGCAACCAGTGAGCATGCCAAGAGGGGGCTTCTTCAGGTGTCATCGGACCTGGACCAAGAATATTAATCACTAGTTCCCCAAGAAGAGAATGTTTTATATACAGCCTCTTGATTCACCACCCTCCACACAGATAATGAAATGTTTTCACCCTGAATCCTCTGTGTGCTACACTGGTAAAATAACAATGAAGATGCAGCATGTTCCTAGCAAAGAAGGGATTTCATAAGCTCTCTCTGTACCAGCTTCTCTTTACACCAAAGGCCTTTCCCACCCTCCCCCCCTTTTCTGTTGCAGTCATTCACTCACCCGCATATTTTGGCTGGAGGTAGAAGAGCCGTGCAAACGAGAGCCTCTGCATCTCCCCTGGGGACAGGATGTCATACCTGCAGCAGGGTTGAGATTCAAAATCTCCCTCAATAAAAAGAGCTCGTTTGCCAAAGAGCTTATGGTTGCTGATATTGGATACCCCAGCAAGCAACTGTCCCTGTGTGTCCCCTGTGTCCCCCTCCATGCTGGGACTGGCTCTGCACCCCTGTGCACAGTCAGGTGCCTGCAGAGCAGCATGGCTGGTGATGACATTGATATTTAGGGCATGAAGGCTTTGCCCCTGTATACTGCCCACCTCCTCCATGACACAGCTGGACACAGATATTCCTAAGTCCAGCAGCAATGTGCATCTGCTTAGACATGTTCCCCACCCGGAGGAATCACCCAAATTCACGCAGACAGCAAGCTCCCTTACCAGTTCCAGTCCACGTGCTTGTCCAGTCCTCCAGCCCTTGCCAGCAAATCAGTCTGCAGAGAGCACAGCAGACTTGTAAACACAGCCCCCAACCCTGTCAGCCCACGGCCCTGAGCATAACCACCCCCTTCCTGCTACTCTCTCTTTTCCCGCTTGAGCTGAAGTTGCTCTGTATCCCTCCTCCTCTGCCTGTCCCATGGACAGTCCTGCTCCCAGCTGCAGACAATGTCCCTGCATGTGTCCAGCACAGAGTCATGCTGTTCTGCCACAAAACCTCATCTCTTCTTCCCTCGCTGGCAGCACCATCAAAGGCGACAGCAGCACTACCAGGGACTCACCAGCCCAGCCAGCTCCAGGAATCGCACAATTCTCTCATCATCTGCAGACCCTAGGGGAGAAAGCAGTAAAGCATAAGTAGAGGCAATATGTGCTGAGGCCACAGCTGCAAGGAGTCGGTGGGGCAGGAGGGATGGATTGGAGGATCTCCTGACATCCAGTGTAGCTGACTCAACCACTTAACTATATCAGGTCCTCAGCTTTGGCACAGAGAGCTCCCAAAGAGTGACCTTCCTTAAAAATGTTAACCATGCCTGTGAGCAGCATGCCAGGATGTAGCTGGGCTCCACAGATACACCTGAGACTTGGCTCAGTCCATGGTCACAGATGGACACAGCCAGAACACAAGGATCCAGGCTTCAATTGCCAAGGCCCTGCCCACCAGCTGCTCTCTTATGGCTGACTGCCCACTGTACGCTGCAGGTGGTGGAGTCATGGGAGCAAGGCTCTGGTAACAGCCAGCAAAAGGATCCTATGTGGGATGGAAAAACCTCAGGGTGAACCAGATGTGGAACAGAACAGACACTTGAGCTGGTACAGTCAGCAGCTATGGAAGCTGAGCAGAAGTGCTGTGCATCAGCCATGGACCTCTCTGAAGCTGCTGAAGAGCCACAACAGTAGCTGACGGCTGCTGTTGCTCTCTGCAAGACCGTGACTCCCAAGAGTTTGAAAGCAGCACATAACACCGCTTTACTCAGACAGAAACTTAAACCTGGACATCTCCAAGCTGCAGCAGACCACATGTGGTCTCACTTGGGAAAAGGGCAGGGAAGAGAAAGGATCCATCTAGTCTGACCTTGACAGCATGCAAGGCCCTGGCGCATCATTTGAAAAAGAGGAACAGTGAAAGATGGAGGTGGATGGAAAATGAGATGAAGGCAAACATAGCTTGCCCAAAGGCAGGTTGTACCAGACAGATCAGATGTATCCCAACAGCAAGGTGCCTCAACACGTATCACATGTCTAGCACAACATGCAGAGCGTGGCCAGCTTGTCCTCATTGCATCAAGAGAGTATGTTCTTATCCAGAGAATATGTTCCCTCGCAAATGGGAGGGAACACAGAGCTGACCTTAACCTACACTAAGGTAAATCTTCCAGGGAAAAGCAGAGGGCAACAAAAGCAAAATGGATGAGTGCTCCTGAAGGGGCATGGTAGGGAAGAAGCTGCACTATGTACAGGACAGGGAGTTGACACTGCTGGGTTGGCTAATTGCTCTAATGAATTTCCATTAAAATACCTGAAACTGGATAGATCTCCTTCAGGGGATAGATCACCTGTTTAACAAAGCAAAAGAAGCCATGTCAGAGGGAGCTGGACACAGTCCATGAGAGATGCAATGGCAGTGGCATGAACTCAGGCACGAGGGAAGGAGCAGCGACAGGCACCCTCCCTCTTGCAGGCCTTTCTGCAGCACACAGGTTTGCAAGGCACAGCTGGGAGCAGAACTGGGGACAGTAGAGGCAGCCCCTGGGCTCACCTGCTCACGCAGGCTTCCATCGGTGAAGAAGGGCCGCTGCGGCAGGAACACCACTCCCCGAGGGCCAAAGCAGGTCAGCATCTTGATGCTCCCTGCACAGAGACACACTCATGCCAAGCCTGCAGTGCCAGCCAACAATTACCCCCCACCCCCCCGCAGCCCTGCCCCAGGAAGTAACCAATAAATCCCAGAATAGGTGTATTTGCAACACAGGGCAAAGCAATGAGAGCCAGAGCAGAGCATGCAATAGAGATGGGTGGCTCCAATGCATCAGTGACACATTCACCATTACAAGGTGGCACTGGCCTTACAACCCCACAGAGCCACCTTCCAAACACAGGGCAGCCCTGGTTGAGAAAGAGAAGGCTGCAGTGAGCAGCAGTCCTTACCCTGCGTGCTCTCCCAGAGTCCCCCAAGGACCCTCAGGAGAGATGTCTTCCCTGTGCCAGTGTTCCCCACAATCATCACACTGTTTCCTTGTGAGATCCTGAGGCTCAAGTCCTTGATGAGCAGCTTGCCAGAGGATGGCACCGAGAGCGTCATTCGCTCCAGAAGGAAAGCTGTGTCCCTTGGCACTGGGTCCTCCCCAGAATGGCTGCTGGGCCACCACCAAGACAAAGGAGGAGAGATCTGGGGGTAAGCGATCATGCTGAGACCTCCTGTGCCTCTGTGACACCAGCTTTGCCCCATGCACCCCGGGAATGACAAATCACAGTAAGCACTGCCTGCTCCACCAACTGCATGCAACAGGCTGTGACACCAAGGGCCACCTCCACCCCATGACAGCCCCACACTCTGGCACGTAAGCTGCAAGCCAGCCAGTTGCTGAGAGGAGACTCACCCATCCAAATCCCAGCTGGCTTTGACTTCTGAGTAGCTGTTATTTTTTTTTCTGCCAAGGCTCAACAAGGTCTCCTGTAGTTCACCAATCCTAGACAAACAGGAGGTTGCATGAATGCCAGGGACAACTCCAGCAGCCTCCTCACAATATCCAAACTTGTCTATGCTTGCTCACAAGCAATTGTTTCTTATTTATTTAGCACAGACCTGGGCAGATTCTTGTCCCGCATTTCCCTTTCCTGCAGAGATCTGCCCGCAGAGCTCACCTGTGCGTGTAGCCAGCGACATCGGTCACAGTGCTGGAGAGATCTATGAGCTGGCTGAAGCAGCCAATAAGGTAGATGGAAACAAAGGCATTCTGGGGAGAAATCACATGCCAGAGGAAGGGTCAGCGCTGAGCTGGGGCACTGCCCCTTCCTCCATGGCTGCAAGGAGGCAGCCAAGGAGTCCAGACATTTGGCCATGTCAGCAGTCCCAGCAAGATGAAGGAGGGTTGGAGAAGTCACCCAGGGTGGTGGGAGTGAAGGAGAAGATGACCATGTTTGGATGGAGCAAGGCTTCCCTGCTCAGTATAGCAGTTTTTGCCAGGTGGACACATCTTCTGCCACCCAGGGATGGTGTCTGCAGAGTGCCTGCTGGCCAGCCCAGGGCCCAGCATGCTCACCCTGTCTAAGTCATGCAGATGCATGCCACCAGCCCTGCCCCAGCACCGTACATGGTTCAGAGCAGGGTGTCTCAGCCTGCAGTGCCCACTTAGCTATTTTTAGCTCTGCATTCTCTGTCACAAGCCAGTTTTGAGTATCTGGGAACAAGTCAGGTCAGGAAGGCAAATGCAAGCCAGCTCAGCCTCACAGGTGGCCAGGCTCACCACGTGCAGCAGCCCAGGGCATAACCTGGACCCGCAGCACTGTGTGGACCCAATCCCCACCCATACTGCTGAAAGCCAGAGGCTTTCTGACCCCCTGGTTTTTTTTAGACACAGAGGTCTGAGCTAGGAAATGCTTACGTAGATGTGTTCTTGACAGATCTCACCCCCAGGTTAATCACACACCAACTGGCTCCAAGCTCCCATTTCCAGGCCACCATGGGCAGAGACATTCTAAGCTGAAGGTCAATTGCTGCAGGTTATCCAGCCTCAGTGCCACCAGCCCCACATGCAACCTCCATCCTCAGTGCCCGCACACCCTCCACAATGGGGTCTGGGAGATCACCCTTAGCTCACCTTGCTGACAAGGGCGCTGAGCTCTGTTGGACTCAGGTCACCGTAGACCCCAGAAAAGATGGGAATGGCAATGATCACATAGCTCAGGATGCTGCCCAGGTAGTCAAAGGTGTTGATCCCAACTTGTCAGAAGCACATTGAGAGAAGACAGTGAGTTAGGGTGAGAACCTCTGTCCCAGCCAGGCTCAAGTGCAGCCCATGAGCCCAGTCAGAGGAAGACCCTTGGTCTTGCCTCAGCCCTTCACAATGCACCAGAGCAGAACCACCTGTTTCGCATGATAGCACAAGCACCACAGTGAAAATTCATTTCCCAAGCAAAGAGCACTTTGGGGCAGGCCCCTGAGCAGAGAAACATCATCCAGACACACAGCTCAGGAACCACTATGGGGCAAAAGCCACTTTGCCTGCTTGTTTCTACTCTGCAGGGGCCTGGATAACTCACAAGAAACAGGAGGGAGGGCAAAAAGGAAGCTCTGGGGCACGATGGTTGGCTGTGAAGTCTGTCTTGAAGCACAGGAGAGGCAGAAAGACTTAAGACCCCAAACTCCCACAGATACAGCTGTGTTCAGGGCTCTCCCTCCCTTTAAGCTGCTCAGAAGATCATTATGCTGGTGAGATGAGGAAGAGCTGTCTTGATAGTGGTCATTTAATGCCCAAACCTGGACCAGAGACAAAGGCAGAAGGGAGATTTTTCCAGGGACAACTATGCTCAAGGGACAGGCTCTATAGGAAAGAAGTTTCCACAGCTCCCAACCACACATACAGAGTCTTCTCCTTCCCCAAAGCTCAAGTCCTTCCCTCTCTTCTTGGCCATTAAACACCTGCCCCATAAAAAGCACAGTTTTCTGCAGATTCCCCTTTTGGGGCCTGCATTTTCTGACTTCACTGGGTCCTCCACAACTTTGCTCTCCGAGGCTTTTTCACAACAGGATTCCCATTTAGGACTGCAGGAGGCACCTTCTGTTCACCCTCAAGGCTTTCACGGTCCAGCAAGAGGCGGGAGAGGAAAACCCAGCACTGCTGCTCTAGCAGGAGGGTTCCCAAGCCTGTGGACCACCGCAATGGAGCTACCACATGCCCCACTTTGCACCCCAAACTACCCACTCACTGTATAGCCACAGCTCCTTCCCTATCAGCTCCCTCTGGGTCTGCAGCAGGCTCTGCAGCCTCCAGTCCGTGCGCATGTGCTCCACTCGCCCGGCCCTGTAAAATAAGATTGCAACATGCCACAGACATCCCACGAGCACCACAATGAGGTCAAAGCATGGGCTTTAGGACTGAGACTTGCAAAGCGTCTGGCACCTTAGCCTCCAAGCAACAAGCTCTTGGTTGAGCAGGAACTGAACAGCCAAGAGCGCCTTCCTGAAGAGCTTCACCAAGAAACTCTGGCAGCAACAAACAACCCTGCAAATCTCTCCCAGAGCCTGTGGATGCTGCTGTTGCACACAGGAGAAGGTGAGGCAAGGCCAGACACTGTCAGCGAGGCCTCAGCCTGGAACAATGCACACCCAAGGTCACACACGCTTTCCAAGCAGAGCCTGGTCAGAAGAGAGGGACAACACTGCTACACAGCTGGAGCCAGGAAGGAGAGGGCAGGGTTGAGTCCAGAAGGTGACAGCAAGGCAACACCACTGCATGGCCAGCAGCCCCAGTCCACCTCCTCCCGTTCCCCACCCCAGAGGAGTGGGACACAGACATGCCCCAGTCACTGCAGCCCCCAGCGTGGGTGACCCCAGCCCCACAGGCCCCCCCTTTCCCAGGGCTGTCTCCGCAGGCACCAGGGGGTCGCCCACCACCTGAGCTAGCAGCAACGCTCCCACGGCCAGGCTGAGCCAGTAGCAAGGAGGCACATCTCGGCTCTAAACCACCACCTTCAGCAAGCATGGCAGCTCCTTCTGCTCCTTCGCAAGGGCTGGCCTGCCCTCAGGTGGCAAAATGCAGACAGAGCTCCACATCTCACTCCAGGCTCCCACCTGCCACAGCAGCTATTCCCCCTGCACCCAACACATGCTTGTGCCCAGCACACACACCCACACTCCCACCACGGTCCATGCAAGGGGGGAGTCACTAGGGCCAGAGCAGATAGGGCCAGGAGCTGCACAAAAAAAATACAAATTAGGATTTTTGAAGAGTCAGTTCTAAAGATTCTTGGTTCTTAGAAAAACACATTTTCTTTCTCAAAAATACATCCAGTTAGACTGCAGTTTGGCATTACTGCCTCACAGCCCATTTCAGGTAACCACTGAGCTGCAGTCTTTGCTGCTGAGTATTTGGAAAGGACAAAGCCTTGGAAACAATGAGTTAAAAGCAAGGAAGGCACTGGCAACCAGAGCTATTATTTCTTTTGCAGACGGATAGATTGCTGTAAAGGTTTCAGCTTTTCCTCCCATTCAGTTCACTTTTAAAGCAAGTTTGCCAAAGGCTTAGAAACACAGAAAGAAGTAAAAAGGTGACAGTGCTCAGGTTTTGTTTCTTCGTTTACCAAAACGATCATTAGGCAGGTGCAAGAGGACAAGATCTAACCAACAGCTTCTACAAGCTAGAAGTCTGGCAATCAAAACCAGCCACTCGCCACGTGTTCCTCCTCTTGCAGAATTCTAGGAATGCAACCTTTTTAAAAATTCCTTTATTTTTAATTAAGATTCATACCATGAAAATGCCTCATTTTGTGCAATTCAATTAAATTCTAGCTTCCCACCAAGTGAAGCTTTTCTATATAATGAACTGTACTGAAGTTAATACACTCCATTTTCTGGTATAATAATTCACTTTCCATTTTCTACTTAGTAATAGAATAAAAAACTTCAAAATTGTGAGGAAAAGTACTGCAGCTTAACGAAGGGCACATAATTAGACTATCTTCTCCATTAAGAAAAATTATCATCAACCAATAAGAATCAACCAGTCCACAAAGAAATAACTCAAACTTGCCAATGCAAACCAAGACTGATTTCAGTTATTTAAATCAGAGTTTCATGCCTGTCAATATAAATATTTATGGAATTGGTTATTTTGAATCAAACCACTTTGGGGACAGCACCACAACACTTGAAATGCTCAGTCATTACAGCATGAAGGAACCAAATACAGATCACAAGCAGGGAAGACCAGAGACAGGACAGCTGCTGCTTGCTTAAATTCCTGGGAGAAGTGTGATTTTACAACATGCAGGGCTACGGCAGACACTTGACAAGAGAGGAGCAACGACCTCCTCCCACCAACCAGGCACCCCAGCACAAGCTACAGTAAAATCGTGGCCCTTTTTCTGGGTTCTAGCCATTTCTGTGAAACACCTTAAAGGCTCCAAGCAACAGCTCAACAGACTTCAGGGCATCACTAAGAGGGGAGGTGCTGCCAGGCTCCCAACTGTGCGCTCAGCTCTGGGGTAAACAACACTGAGCAAACTCACAGAGTAGCAGTACAGTGTTGAGAGAGTCAGAGCACAGACTGACCTAGAGGAGCAACAGAGGTAAGGAGGCCAGGCAACAGCTAGCACATCCACAGAAGACATGCAGGTTAGCAGCAGCAGGATGGGCCCAGAAGCAACCTGCAACAAGTCCCTGGGGGAACATCCTGACAAGATGCAATGAGACCTTGAGCAATCTTTCAGGTAAGGACCTGGCAAAACATCAGAAATGGTCTCTAAGCCAGCACCGAATCTGTATCAGGCCTCTGGGGATGTCAGAAGGGAGGCAGAGAAAAAATAGTTGTCTCCAGCTGCTGTGGAGTATTTCTGCAGATGATGTGCAGAATGCAAAGGAGAACAGAACGTCAGAGCTGTATGATACTTCAGCATGACAGAGGGGACAGAAAGCTCCGGCTGCAGCAACAGGACTTGGACTCCTCTGTGATACATGAATACAACAAGGATGCCCTGAGCTGGGAGGATCCTTACAAGGACGTAAAGAAATGAATGCTACTAACCTGTAGAAAGCAGCTGGTTCCGCATTGACACGAATCTGCATGTGCTTGAACCTGCACAACCCAAAGAAACATCATCAGTATTGTGCACAAATGCCCAGCGAATTATGTAGCCAACATCCTTGCTAAAGGAAACTTGTCTTGCATCTGACAGAGCACTGATATGAGGCATCTCTTGACAGAAATACTCAGTAAGCCCAAAAAGGCACCAGAGACCAAGGCTTAGCACAAGATGACATAATTCTGTGCCAGCTCAGTGGTGCATCGGTTTAGTATCCTGTTCTCTGTGCACATCTTCTCAGCCCTTGGGCCTCCCGTTTGCTAGCCCAGCATCTCCACCATACAGAATCACCACAGCCAACTGGCCTGGTCTGGGCTCCCTGTGCCACACCAGCTTCTGCTGCTGTCCCTGGATGCCCTGAGCCCCAGGGAAAGCTGCAAAGCTGCCTGCCACACACCCAGCCAACCCTGCAGGGGAAGGGGAGGGGACGAGTTACAGAGCATATGGAAAGACTGTGCTGTTTTGGGCACTTCATAAAGATGGTGGTGAAGCAGAAACCTGATTTCTGTCAGTAGATGCAGTTCACTGAACTTGCATCTGTACCCAAGGAAGCTCCATGTGCAGTTTTCTTGAACACATCCAACGCCCTAGCAGAGGCACCAGCAACAGCAATGACCAGGCAAGCAGCCTGGAGACTGAACCAGGATACTGAAGCAAGGGCACTGCCTGCCATGACACAGGGCAGTGAAAGGGGTGGTGGGGGCTCAGTACACGGACTTTGGGGCAGCGCTGTGCAGATAGGTTTCTCTGACTGTGGGCAAAGTCATGGACAAGAGAAGTAGCTGTGTACACAGCACTGAACAGGGACAAAAATGCAGCTTTAGCAGGAGCTGCCAAGAGGCAGTGAAAACACTGCCCTGCTGGGACTCACCTGAAATCCCCCTCCAGTTTTTCCTGCTGCACAAGTTTAGACACAATTGGGCTCATCAATACTTTGTTGACAATTGTCCCAATGATGAAATACCCAAAGATGCTCACCGGGCCTAGCCAGCCTGTGCTACAGAGGAGAAGGAGAGGTCAGCTAATAATCCAAGCAAAAGTACACCCTAGCACCCTTGGGCTCAAGCAGTCAGAGCCCTCAACTGTCACCTCTCTTGGCTTTCACAGAGGTCTGGAGGCCAGCACTGCACACTCCAGCATCCCCAAGGCAGAACTGCCTTTGCAGTGCAGAGACTGCTCACCCATACGTACAAGTGTTCCTCTGGCGAGTTGTAACATGGGTGCCAGGCTTCAAAAAAGAGCATAAGAAAGAGGTGTGAAAGCAGGGCCAGTATGGGTCCTTACCTGTGGAAGCACTGGTACGTGTAGTAGGCCAGCGTGAAGGGTGAGATGATGAGTTTTCTGGCCATGGAGCTGAGCTGCCTGCAGAACCTCTCCACATCCTGGCTGATGCGCTGGTCCCTGCTCAACAAAAAGAGCCACGGATGCTGTTAAAGCCCAGGAGCGAGAACCAGTACTAACTCCCTAACAGAGTACAAGCCAGGCTGTTTCATTGCCTGAACTTAGAACAGGGTGCAAGTGAACAACCCTGCCTGGGAGGGACCTGCAGCTGTGACTCCTGTTCCCCCATAGGAGACAATTTCCATGGCCCAGGAGGACCCACCCAAGGGCCTTCCTGGCACCCAGGAAGAACAGCTCCTTCTGTTACTTTCACCCTGTTCCTTGTATTAACCCCTTGTTCCATGTGCAACATTGCTCAACTCTGTGCTAAAGGTCTCTGCATCCTTGTCCTTTACTCCTCTCCTGGACCCACCCCCGTACTACCAAAAACTACTGACTCTCCCCCAAACCTTCAGTACTTGTGCTGCATCTCAGGCATCAGAGCCACAAGGACTGGCTAGGGCACAGGCCAGGCCTTCACCAGCTGTTGGACATTTGCAAACGCTTCCATCAAAGCCAACCTTTCCACAGTAGCTGGTCCGTTCACTCTACATGGAGTGCGCTCCAGTCCCTTTGCTGCAAGGAAGAAAGTGCTTCCACCCACCTCCATCCCACAAGAGCAGGCAGCAGCGCACCCCATCGGCAGCAGGCACATGGGTGACAGACCCTCAAGTCCCGTCTGGCCCACTGCTGAGCAGGAGTTGCATTTGGGGTAACTAGAAAGGATTTCAGCATATTTACTCCCTTGGCACCTCATCTGTCCAGAACACGTGGATGAGGGCTTCAGTCTGATGCTCTAAGCACAGATGGAAAGGCCACAACTGTGAATGTTAGAGTCCAGAATGAAGCGCAAGACTGGACTCCCGCTTAGACATCAGTGCAGATACAACCACAGGGACATTCCTCTCTCAACTCTTTTTACAGTCCTGGAACAGCAATGGATTTAATTTTGGGGCAGCTCTCACCCTGACTGACCTTACAGTCATCATTTTTCCTTTTCCTCAGACTGTAATTGTTCCCATAAAGTTATAATTTAAGTCATACTATAGACTCATGGCAGAATATTGCTTTTTATGAGCTATTAAGCAACATGTAATGATAACACATAAACATCAACTCAAATGCCCTGCTAAGAGCTGCAAGTGTTTGTATGCCACTCATAACCCACTCTTCATTCCTTCTAGATGGATGACACCATGCATCTAACACTCAGTTTGTTTTGCACTGCATAATGGAGGTCACTTCATTGCTCTAGTTCATTCTCTAAGTACCCGGTGCAGGGAAAAAATTCTTACCAAGGAACTGCAAGATAAAGAAAATATTTGTAGTGGCACCAAAAAAGACACTGAACAATAAGATTGGATGTTTGAGCAGAAGCAAGGTGGTAATGAAAAATACTCTGCAGCAATCCCACACATTTGGTCTGCTGAGGTCAGGAGAGCTGGCTCCATCACTGCAGAGCAGACTGACCCAGTTATCTCATGCATTTCACTGCACAATGTGAGCACACTCCCTGGTTAAAAATAAACCTAAGCAGGATAGTCAATGTGGAGAGGGGCCTCTGTCCTCCCCTTCCCCACCCCACCCCACCCCCACCAAAGGAAAAGACAGGCATGCAGAAGCTTCTAGCTGTGGCCAATGTGCTACACTTCCTGGGAAGCACTGCATGCCTTGGTGACAGGCATGGCTTTTTAACCTCTCCTTGCAACTCCATACAACTGCAAAACACTACCAGAAATGAACATTTAACTAGGGTGGGAGTAACCCCATCAGGGGCTGGAAAGTGCATCAACATCATGAAGCTGTGATTTCACGTTTGGCAGTAGGGCTGTTTGACCCAAGCTAAGACCTCTCCTTGCTTGCTGCACCCCTGGCGCACAGCTGATTGCTCTTACTCGGGCTGTGTCCTAGCACTAGGCCAGCAGAAGCAGCCAGGGAACGCATCTGGCTGAAAAATGATACAGACAAAAAAACATCTGAGATACCCAGCACGATTCCATTCTGCAGCCACACAAACCACACTGTGCAACAAAGAGGCAAGGACAGGCAGCCAGGAACACTGGGCAGCAGAAGCACGGCAGCTGTTTCAGTTCCTTGAGGTCACCACTATGGACAACAGTTAGGAGTCCCTGCAAGACAGCCATTTCTCACAGGGACCTCAGGCCCGGTCTCCTCTGGTACCATCAACGTGTGACCAGAAGCGTCCCCTCCAGGGCAGGAGAGCTTAAGGTCTCAAAACAACTGTATAAAGCCACATAATTTGGAAGAAGTCATCCCCTGCTTTCTAGTTTTTCAGCAAGTATTTAATAACAACTTCTTTAAATTCTGGAGGGGAAAAAAAGCCTCTACCTCTTACATGATATCTAATGTAGGATCTTTAATACTTCAGAGTGAATAACTACAACAGCAGTGTCCAGCAAGGACAGGCTGGAAGGCCAGGGTCAGCACGCAGTTGTGAGGAAGGAAGGCGTTCAACCTTCGCTGCACAGCCCGGGTTAGATCAGCAGCTCTGCAGTAAGCACGACAGTGCACAAAGCAAACTGGAAGGGGATCTCGAGGTGGGCTGAGATAAGCAAGGAGGGACTGAATGCTCCTCCTTCTCTCATATTTCAAGTCACCTCTGACATTTCCTTCCTAGGAACAGGAAAGGTGGCCCTCATACAGTGCAAAACAAAGCCCTTCCTGGATGTAGCTCCCATGGGTTATTGAAACCACTAAAAACCCAACTAAAAAAGAACTGTGTTCAGCTGGAAGCTCTGGTGGTTGAAGTTCAAACAGAACAACAGGGACTGTCCTAACACACTGGCTGCGTGAAGGCAGGGAGAGGCGGTGCTCTCTGACTCCAGCCAGGCCCTTTGCAACATCACACTGAGTGTCAAGGGTTGAGTCTGCAGACGGCATGTTTTATAGCAGCACTAGTTCCCTGTTCTGCTGGGCCTCCATTTGCCTCGCAACAGAAACATCCTACTCCTAAAACCATCTCATGACCAGCAGTCATGGGAGATCCCAGCAACAGGCACCACCTCCCACCCAGGGCAGAAAAGGCTATTTGTGCCCAGATGGCAAATGCTTCTAGGGCTCAAGCCCCTACCCAGAGAGACAGAGAAGTCAGGAAAAGCTGCAGAGCAGCCCAGGAGAAGCCAAGCAAGAGGCTGAGAGAAGCCACAAGCAGCCTACGGGTTATCGATGTCCTCGCGCAGCACGTGCAGGCTGTAGTAGACCTGGCCTTGGAAGTAGCAGCTGTGGAGGTATTCGGTGAGGGATTTCCTCCAGCTCACGTACATCATGTTGCAGATAAACTGGTCGAAGCTCTTTAGCTGGAATGAGGGCAAGGAGACAGACGGGAAAAGATGAGCGAGAAGAACAAGCATTTCCTCAAATGAAATAAAAACTAACAGTTCGTACCAGTGATCTGTCCCACAGGTAGCTACCTAACGGGGCAAGGGCAGACCTCAATCCTTCGGCACCAGGATCACGCCGGGGGCCAGGGGCAGCTTTCCCTTTCCCTCCCAAGACACGGGAGCCTCTGGCCTGCCTTACCGTGGAGTTCGCTACGATCAGAGTCAGGGCAACGGCAGTCAGCGTTTTGAACCCGGAGAAGTCCTTGTTCCCCAGGACCTCATAGTACCGGCTGGGGATGACGCCGACCTGGTAAATGACCAGCTGCTCTGGAGGAGAGAGGCAAGCGCGGGCGGGACATGAAGGCCGGCGGTGGCACGGCAAAAGGCGGGGGGGAGCACGGGGGAACGGGGAGCAGACGCGGGGTGCGGCCCCCCCTCCCCACCACCCCAGGCTCACCCAGCAAGGCGACGCCGAGCAGCGTCAGGAACATCAGGGCGCTGGGGGAGGGCCAGCCGGGGAAGAGCACGGCCTGCAGCCGCAGGAAGCGCCGCAGGAACAGCCCGTCCAGCCGGGGGCCAGGCCTGCAACGGAGGAAGACGCGGGGGCCGGCACTCAGCTCTCGGGGGTGCCCACCTCCCCTCCGACCCGCCGAGGCACCCCCGAGCCCGGCCCCCCTCCTCACCGGCCGCC